TATGAAACAATAGTTGCCAGACAATGGAGAACAGTCCATGCAAAACTGTGATCCCCAGAAGAAAGTAAATCAATGAGGACAATGTTATAATTACCTGCCTGAGGCACTATCATCCAGACTGCAGCATAGGGTATGGGAGGCAAAACAGAGCAAAGTGGTCTTGTTGAGCTGAGTTGAAGATACAAAGATTTAGAGAGGCTGAAGCTGCTGCTGGAATTTCTAAGGCAGATTACAGAGAGAAAGGAGCTATATGAAGAAAGAGCTTTAAAAAATCTGCATAGGGCTCCCCTTGAATTTCTAGCTAAATAAATTAGCACATGAGTAGGATAGGTTTCCACAAGATGGACAAAAACCTCTCTGCGAAAAGGATAACAATTAGGGAGCTGTAAAGTAAACAACTCCCAGAGATAACACAAGGTGGGAAGAGCTTATAGTTCCAACCAGCCAAAATGGAAAGACCTTGTTGAACACGTGAGGCATACAGGGGAAACCACAGTATGGTCATACTTTAGTAGCATTTTTAAATTAGACCTAGATTAAAGACTTCTCAGAAGCTAAAATCAAGCCTCAGATGAATCAAGCTGACCTATAACTAGCTAATCTGCCCATCTAAGCAAACCTCAATACTCCTTAAAGGAAGGCAACAAACTACAGACACTGGACAACACAACATTTAAAATGTCCACTTCAGTAACAGAAAGGTATCTGCAAAATCCCCAAATACATAGAAATTAAACCACTTCTCAATATCCCAGGGACCAAGGAAGTAATTACAAGAGAAAGTAGCATTTATTTTGAACAGAATAATATTGAAGTTGCAACATTAGTTATATAAGTATAGCCAAAATTTGGTTATATAAGTAAAGCATTATACTTAGTAGAAAACAAATGACTTTAAGAAATTATATTAGAAAAGAATAGAAAAATTAAGTTCATGACCTAAAGTTCCACTATAAGAAGCTAGAACAAAAGGGCAAAGTAAACCCAAAGAATGCAGAAAAAAGAAAACCATAAAGATAAGAGCAGAAAGCAATGAAATAGAAAACAGATAAACCATAGAGAAAATAATGTGACCAAATCTCATTTGTTGAAAAGACTGATAAAACTGATAAACCTCTAGCTAGGCTGATCAAGAAAAAAACATTAATAACCAGTATCAGGAAAAGAATAGGAGCAATTATTACAGATCTTGAAAAATTAAAAGTATAACATGCAAATTACGAAAAATTTTCCAATGAATCTAACATCTTAGAGGAAATGAAAAAAATTGCATGAAAAGGGCCGGGCGCGATGGCTCATGCCTGTAATCCTAGCACTCTGGGAGGCCGAGGTGGGTGGATTGCTCAAGGTCAGGAGTTCGAGACCAGCCTGAACAAGAGTGAGACCCTGTCTCTACTGAAAAATAGAAAAAAATGATCTGGACAACTAAAAATATATATAGATAGAAAAAATTAGCTGGACATGGTGGCACATGCCTATAGTCCCAGCTACTCGGGAGGCTGAGGTAGTAGGATCACTTGAGCCCAGGAGTGTGAGGTTGCTGTGAGCTAGGCTGACGCCATGGCATTCACTCTAACCCCAGCAACAGAGTGAGACTCTGTCTCAAAAAAAAAAAAAAAATTGCATGAAAGGATATAAAATATCAAATTGACACATGAAGAAAACCTGAAGAGCCTTTTATATATTAAAGAATTCCATGAATATTCCCACGAATGAAACTTCAAGCCTCAATGACTTCACAGGTGAATTCTATCAAATATTTAATAGAGAAATAAAACCAATTCTATGCAAAATATTTTATTCAAAGTAGTTTAAAAAATTCATAGAATGATAATCTCAGTAGATCCAGAAAAGTATTTGACAAAATCCAACACCCAATAATGAAAAAATTTCCAGCAAATTAAGAATAGAAGGTAATTTCCCTAATCTGATAAAAGGCATTCACATACACACAAAACACAAAACACACACACATAACAAATATTGTACTTAATGCTGGCATACTGGACTTATCCCTACAATCAGAAAAATGTCAAGGACAACTGCTCTGTCAGGTCTATTCAACATTGTACTGGAGGTCATAAGAATTATCAAACAGTCAAGAAAAACATAAAGGGCATAAAGATCAGAAAGAAGAATTAATGTTTCTATTTGCAGATGACAAATGTTTTTAAATATAGAAAATTCTAAGGAATCTAAAATATAACGATTAAAACTAATAAGTGAATTTAAAAGGTTTCAATATCCAAGGTTAATACTAAAGTTAATTAAGTTTTTATACACTAACAGCAAAAATTTGCGATTTTTAAAATTGTATTCAAAATGATTCAAAAACATAAAACATTTAGGGATAAATATATCAAAAGTTGTGTATGATCTTCACACTGAGAACTACAAAACATTGTTGGCAAAAAATTAAAGCAGACCTAAATAAATGGATAGAAATACCATTTTCCTAGACTGGAAGCAAAGGCAGCTGGTAAACATTTAACAACCAACTCCCCCCCTCCAAAAAAAAAAAAGGCTCCTATTTTTTGAGTTTGCCAATTTCTTTGATGTGAATTCTCCCACCCTAGCCTATTTCAAGAGGTTAAATTCCTGAAATTTTAATAATGGTTTCTTGTGATTTAGTATAACCTATCTTTAGCTCACTAAGGATTGAAATACTCAATACTGTTAAAAGTAAAATTTTCACCAAATTGATCAATCTCAATAATAAGCAGACCAAGCATTTTTATAGAAATTGAAAACAATTATAAAATGTATATGGAAATGCAAAGGACCAAAAATATCCAGAACAATCTTGACAAAGAAAAGCAAAGTCGATGGACTTAAACTATCAGACTTCAAAAATTACATTAAAGATGATCTAGACAATGTGATATTGGTATAAGGACAATCAATGGAACAGAATAAAGAGCTCAGAAATAGACTAACTTTTATACTTTACTGGACTTGAAAAAGTCTTTTCGATAAATATTGTTAGAATAACTGGATATCCATATGGACTAAAAATAATTCTTGGCCTCATACCTTATACCATATAAAAACAATTAAGATGGATTGCATACCTAAAATATAAAAGCTAAAGCTATGAAACTTCCAGAAGGAAATACAAGATAAATCATTCAGTATTTGAGAGCAGGCAAAGGGTTCTCAAGGCACAGAGAGCAATAAACAAAAAAGAAAAATATGATATAATAAATTAGACTTTATCAAATTTTAAAACTGCCCAACACAGACATCATTATGGAAATGAATAAGCAAGCTATAAAATGGGAGTTAACATCCATAAGTTACTTATCAGATACAAGTCCGGTATCGTTGGTATACAAAGAACAGCAATACCATAGACACAGACCCAGTTAGTGACCAGAAAACAATTTCAATTCATAAGCACACGAAAAAGTGCTTAACAACATTACACATCAGGAAAATGTAAACTAAACCATACTGAGATATAACTACATACTCACCAAAAAGGAAAAAAGTTAAAAAGACTAAAAGACCAAATGTTTGCAAGGGTATGGAGCAACCAAAACTCTCAACCATTATTGCTGGGAGTGTAAAATGCTACAACCACTTTGGAAAAAATTCTGGCTATTTCTTATAAAACTAAGTATGTACTTATTCTGTGACCCAAGAATTTTAGATATTGACCAAAGAGAAACAGAAAAAAAAATATGTATAGAAATATATTAGAATGAGAATATTTATAGCAGCCATATTCATAATAGTCAAAACCTGGAGACAGCTTCAATGTCCATTAAAATGACAATGGGTAAATAAATTGTGACTATTACTTAGCAATAAAAATGAACAAATTACTAATACTTACAGCAACATTGATGAATCTCAAAACATGATGTTGAATGACCTTAATAAAGAGAGTATATATTGAAAGATTCCATTTGTAGGAAGTTTTAGAAAAAGCAAAGTTAATCTATGGTGGGAAAAAAATCAGAACAGTGATGATTACCTCTGAAGGGATGAGAGTAGGGAGTGACTGGGAAAGAAGGGCATGAGGTAATTTTCAAAAATGATAGTACCAAGATTTGTGTATTTCGACGTACAGTATGTAAACTTAGCCTCAATAGAAAAAATAAGAACCATCAACAAATTCTGAATTCCAGTTACTGGCAGGTTGACGTAAATGGGGGTGAAATATGCCAATTATTAAAATTTACTCTGAAGTGCATTATCAAATAAATGGGTTGATAGATGAATGCAGAGAGAGAGAGATGAATCGATATATGGTAAAACAAATTTCTCACTCTGGCTGACTCCAGATTCAGTTTAGAAATCAATTTAACTTCTTTATCTCCAGGCAGTTATCAATAATAAAAGATCTTTGGACATTTTAGCTAACCAGAAGAGAAGCCATACCCTTGCTAATGTTTTACACTGTATCTGGATTTATGCTATAAATGAGAAACAACTTATACCTAAATTAAAGAATGACAACCAACTACCTAAGGTAGACCCAAGGCACTGTTGAGTCTAATTTTCATTATTAGGCTGGAAATCTTCCAGAGGGCCATTAAGTACGTTCTTAAAATACTTTTATACTTTAGCTCATTTTTCTGTTGCTTGACTTTTGTTGTCCAGAATCTAAAAATGCTCAAAAAATGATTCAAAGACAAAAAAAGGATGAAATCATTCTGACTGACACTCAAACTGAAAATCACACTTCTGCAAACAACCTCATCTTTAAAGAGAATCAACAACAGTGGTGAAGATGGACAATTCTTGGTGATCTCTCCTGCAGCTTTGAATGAAGGAAGACTGAAAGGAGGGCTAAGTATAAAAAATGTTTTCATATTCCCGGAAAAGACTGTTCTCTAGCCATGGTATCAGGTAAGCACCAGGGCCAGTTTTAATGACAACTCATATCAGAAAACGTGCTTCTGAGAGCCAACCAATCAGTAACAGCTGAAAGTGAGCCAACGGGAGATTTGTCTTCAGATAAGACAGGGAGTTGGGATAGGCATAAAACTTACCAGCATGAGACTCAAACTTCAGCAAAGCACTGCTGCATCCCAGAGTAATCAAGATGGACTCCTTCCCCACGCGGCAACATTCAGTGTCTTTGTTGAGTAAGCATTTAAAGACACAGACGCCATCAGCTATAAAGGAAAAAAAAAAAGAATTAGGCAAATCTATTTTGACTCTTGTGAAAAACGTTCATGAATATCATTCCTGCATTTCTCTCATGTTCTCAAGGCCCCCCACTTCTATCTTCTTGATATAATGTGTCCTAGGACATATGTGAACATGACGACGAGAGATGAGAAGAATATAACCATGACCAAATACCAATTCTCTGAATGTGGGTTAACACACAGCACAAAACTGACTCTTACTGGCTCTTGCCTTTGTGCCCAGGGCCCTGTTCCCACAACCCTTATATTCCCCCAAGTCAATTTTATGTCTCTTGACACCATCCCAGGAGAGTTCAGGTAAAGTCTAATTCTTGAGCACCTACTATTTGTCAGAGACGTCACAACAAATCTTCATTATCAGTATTATCACTGACAATGTTCCTTGGTGAAGGCAAGGCAGAGAGGGGTGGGGAGCCTGTGGCTTTCTGATTTCAAGATTCTTCTTTTTTATGCACCAAAGCAGGCAAGAAAAGCTTCATATCTCTCTGCAGCACGCCTTTTAATAAAAGGATTTGTTCTGCAAAATTTGGATTCAGTCAAAAGGCTGCACTTAAAGGGCCTGGAAGGCCACATTTTGCCTTCAGGCCATAGGTTCCCCACCCTGCACAGTGTGCTGAGGCAATTGTGATAAAGAGGGAGCTTAGATCATTGGGAACTAACTAGCTAATCCTTCTTTTACAGGTTGGACAGGCCTTTAGCATTGGGCAGCTGTAGTGTGGTGGAAAGCACAATGGACATGAGGATTTGCTTTTATCTTTTTTTTTTTTTTTGCAAATATTGAATGATTTTTATTTATTTATTTACTTACTTACTTTAGGATATTATGAGGATACAAACATTTTGGTTACATTTTATGTCTTTGCCTTGCCCAAGCAAGGATTAGAGGCATGCCCTTCCCTTCTACAATGCTTTTATCTTTGAAAGTAAACATGAACTTCTAAGTTCCATTTTTTCATCATGTGAAATGAAAATATTGATGCTTATTTCACAGGCTTTGGTGAAAACTGAATAAAAATGGTAAAATAATTCCTAAAATACTATTAAAATAATAAGGGACTATTATTATTTCTCCTATTTAAAGTAGATCTTTTTATGGCTGAGTAATACTCCATGGTATACATATACCACATTTTATTAATCCATTCATGAATTGATGGGCACTTGGGTTGATCCCACATCTTTGCAATTGTGAAGCACTCTGTGATAAACATTTCAGTGCAGGTGTCTTTTTGATGAAAAGTCTTCTTTTCCTTTGGGTAGATACCCAATAGTAAGATTGCTGGATCAAATGTTAGTTCTTTGGGGAATTTCCATATTGTTTTCCATAAGGAGACCATTCTCCTAAGTGAAGTATCTCAAGAATGAAAAACAAAAACCACATGTGCTCACTATTAAATTGGAACTAACTGATGAACATACATGTACACAGAGAGAAGCAAAACTCAGTGGAAATCACCCAGAGGGTAGCGGGGAGGAAGGCAGGAGCAAAAATCTACCTAATGGGTACAATGAACACTATTTGGGTGATGGGCACACCTACAGCCAGGACTCATGCATTACAAAAGTGATCCATGTAACCTAAAACATTTGTACCCCCTTAATATTTTGAAATAAAAATAAATAAAGTAGGTCTTAGTTCCCTAATGCCTTCCATTCTCCCTTATAAAATCAAACACAGAAAGTGTATTAACTTCAAAGTGTAATTGTATGTAAAATTCTACTGTTATATATGTGTACATGCACATTCATGCACACACATTCAGAATACACACACATGCAGAGTTAAGATGACCAAATATTTTCAAATATTTCCCTTACTCAAATAAATGTGTACCTCCTGATGAAAGCATTCACAAATAACGTTCACAAAATGTCTTGGCTCGTTAAATAGTGCAAATGTTTTGAAAACATTTTCTGGGCATCAAACATGATTGTAGGTTTAGTTATTACAGCCCAGTCAGCGTCTCAAAGGCATCCATGCCTCCTAGCGGAGAGGTAACCATGAATGAAGATGCAGAGGGGACTTTGGGACTCTTCTAAATATGTTCTCTGAAAATCATAAGAAATATTTTTTCAAGAAATTAGAATTTTTAGCATTTTGCCGATTGTTCCTCTTGTGGTTTAGAAGTAGAATAAGATAGAATGAAGATGAAATGAGAATTCTAGGCTCCTACTGTTCCTTGTACCTACATGACTATTGTACTCTGTAAATTCTTCGTCGGCAGTGGTAATTTTACTTTATTTTGAGAATCAATATCTTTTTTCTAAATCAAAACCTAGCATCGTGCCCGGTACTTAAATGTTTGTTGAATCAGTGAAAGCATTTCTCCATGTATTGATTGAATACCATCTCCAAAGAGATAAAAAGCTTCAAAATTTATCTAGTTCAATTATCCTTAACCAGATGGGCTCAGAGTATTTTGTTTTATTGTTTGTTTTGTTGTGATCTGATTAAAGCATAGAGTTGTTTTTTTCTACTTCTATAAATTGCAACATGCCTGCCCATACATTATCCCTCTTTTTCACCCTCTCCCTATCCTCCATTTAAATATGAGTGGAGAAGATCTTTTTAATAAAATAAAATCCAGAAATGACTGCTACTCAAAATTTTACTATATACTTATGTAAAAAATTTGAAATATCTTAAACAAAATTGAAAAACAATGATAAGCTGGGAAAATATTTTCAACATCCATACAAAAACTTAATATTCCCAAAATACAATTAGCTCTAAAAAATAAGAAGCCTCAAGCATCCCTATTGAAAAGTTAGCAAGAAGAATGAATAAACAGTTGGTAACTATAAAAATGCTGATAGCAAAAAAAAAGTGAAAAAAAGATTCTCAGTAATAATCAAAGAAATATGTAATAAACCAGTGAGGTCAATTTAACATTTATCTCTCATTGTTAACATTTTTTAAACACCTACTAATAATATCAAATGTTGTAGAGGGGATAAGAAAACAGTGAACAAGTATTGGAACTGTCAATTTGTCTATTTCTGGAATGTATTCTCCCCTTATGAGTCAAAATTTATGTATTCTTGCTAGACATTCAACTTGTAATTATTTCTTCCAGAATGTACCTTATCAATGTAGATGAATATATATTCAAGGATGTTCTTAGAGTTGTTTACTATATTTAGAAAAGGTAAAGAAGTGAGTCCATCACTTACATGGTTGGTTAAATCAAACATGGTACCCCCATGTTCAGGTTGCAGACAGCATGTAAAATATAGCAGCCATTTAATGTTGTGTTTATCTTTATAGAAAATTGTTTAAGAAGATCTTCACCAAAATGTCATCAGTGGTTTCCTCTGGAAGGAGAGATTTGGGGTCATTTTTATTTTTCCCTTTCCAGAATTCTGCCTTGTTTGAATTATCTAGGTGACTACTTATTTTTACAATTAGAAAAAATAAGAAAGCTATTTTCATTTGGTAAAAAGCAATCAAACAAAAGACACACTGCCATCAATGTATTTCACCACACTCTCATTCTCACTGGGAATCATCTTTCTTTTTATTTTTGCATTTATCAGATATTCATTGGTACTTCATTTAAAATATTTGCTGAGGAATTACTGTACCCAATATAATCGTTATTTTCATTACTATTTATAATCATTCATGAAAATCAACATGTTCCCATGTTTTTTCTTTGCTAATCTTATAACTTCTTTTATTTCCTTTCCTATCTTTTGACCGTATTAGTACCTAAAACAAACATTATAAATGATTTCTGTTAACTAATGGAATCAAGATAAAGACGCAACTATTTCAGGGGAAAGCATATTATCAACTGAGGAATGTATCTTTTTAAAGAATTTACATTAGAAAAATGAAGAAATACGATAAAAAATTACTGCAGAACATGCACCTAAGTCCAAGAAGTACCGTAACACTGGTGAAGAATTGAATGGTGGAGATCCTTTCCAATGTACACTGTGCTACTAAATTGTGACTATAAATTGTGGCAGGGCCTCTTTCTTTCAAGTTATTGCTACTACTACGACTAACTACATTTGCATAACACTCTGACGCCATCTTACAAACATCTCATATCACCTCTTCAGTGACCCAACTATGCTGGCCGCTTCTGTGTATTTACTATTATTCTGCTTCTCTCATTAGCCACACTCTTTGCCATTTTTTCAAAGGGCAAGGCCTGAGCGGATGATAGCAGCAAAACAACAAGCAGAAAAAGTTCACGTGTACAGAATTTAGTCAGTTTTAGTGAAGTCCAGAGCCTTGCCATTCCCTCCCTGAAAAAACCATTTGTTCTTCCAGAGGTCTCTCAAAGAAAATCATGATGATGGTGAGTTCGGATGCCTCCCTCTATCCTCTCTCTCAGCCTCATCTGACAAATCTCCAAAGGCACACCGAGAAATCTCATTTTGCAGGTGTAGACAAGTAACCATGGAAAATGCCACAGGGTAAGGTCAAGAGAATCCTCCCCTCTCTTAACAAACATTTCTCTACTTTTCCAATATAAACCCTCTCTCCTTTCAGCCCATGCAAATGTAAAATCCAATCTCCATAGGAAAGCTATAATACTAGTTGTCCAAGAATATTAGATATCAGGCACAATTTAGAACAGCGGTTCCACAAAATATTAATACTTTTATATATAAGTTACTAAACAGAACAGAACTCATTACCTAATAATGTGATATACATGTCAATTCTATGCTAGGTGACCCTCTTGATATTTTCTTATTCAGAAATGGGAAGTTAGGCTACCTAAGGACTGTGTCCTGGAAATGGATAATTAAAAATGATGATATAGGCAGCACCTGTATAGATGGAGTAAAGCATACAGATGTATATATTCCTTGGAGACTCATCCAAGTTGTTGCATGTATCAACAGCTCATTCCTTTTCATTGCTGAGTAGGATTCTATGATATGGATGCACCACAGTTGGCTGAATCCTTCAGATGTTGAATTATTTATCTGGGCCATGTCCA